TTTCACAAATGAGGAAATGGAGGCTCAGAGAGGTTAAGTAACTTTCCTGAGGTCACAGAGCAATTAAGAGAAAGAGTTGGGGGTTTGAGTCCAAGTTTGCCTCATCATTAAGTATATGCCCGCCCCCGCCCCTCCCCTGACACTTGTAACACTCCTTCCGTCCCCCCATGAGCCCTTCCCTTCCTGGTCCGATCTCGAGGCTCTGCTTGGCCTCTGTGCCATCATGGCCCCTTCTGTCTTGCCGCCGCCGCTAGGAGCTCTTTGGGGATGTTCTTTTCTGGCCTCAGATGAGGAAGGAGGAAGGGGCTACACGGGGTCAGATCTCGGCTAGCAGGGGGCCTCGAAACCCTTCCCCCAACTTTACTTTGTCCCAAATTTTTGTTGAGCTCCTCCCATGCCTGGTGTTCACCTGGTCCAGGCCAGGTGAACAAAACCATCAGTAACCCCTGCCCCGTGGCACTCACCTAGAGATGGCTGCAGCTCTCTGAGGTGGTAGTGGGGTCTCGCCCAACGTTCTCACCCAACCTCCAGTCATTTCCTGGGCACCCCAGATGCCATGGAAAACCCCATCTACTCTCCTGGAGTCTTCAGCACCCCCCTGACCTGCTTGCGCATGGTCACCTGGCCAGAGGAGGTACCAGACTGGAACCCAGCTCTGCCTGACCACAAAGCTCCTTCCCGGCTCTCCTGTGTCACCAGCTCACATGTGGCCTGGGGCAGAGCTTGTCCGCTCTGGGCCTCAGCTCTCTGGCCTGTCCAGCGTGTCCAGCATGTGTGTGGAGCAGAGCCTCCCCTTGGGCCCTGCCAGGTCTAACTGAGTGTGATCCTGAGTGTTGTGGGTAGAGTTAGGGGGACCTGCTTGCCTTGGCCTGACCGTCCCTCATTTGCCTCTGATGCCAAAGTGCCTCTGTGCCCAGCGGGGCCAGCGGGAGGCTCTCAGGTGGGCACGATACCAGCCCTGCCTTCAGATCACTGGGTCTCGGGGAGCCCTGAAATGATGATGAGGATGGTCCGGAAGTGGCCCTGGCTGCCACTGAGGGTCCAGAGAGGGGAGGGGCACTGTGCCCTGGGAAGGCTCCCTGGAGGAAGGGGCATGCAAAGACCCTGAGGAACGGGGGGCATCAGGATGGAGGGAGTGGAAGGCAGTGGTTCAGAAGGGAGAACACCTGTTCAAAGGACAGTGATTTCCCAGTTCATTGGGAATTGAGGTCAGAGAGGCTGGCCAGGGGCAGAATGCAGAGGATCGTGAACACGGGGTCTGGGGGCTGCCATCCACATTTCCCCTTCTCCTTACCTGGCAGGGCCTCCCAAGTGAGCATCTAGGAGCAAGGGCGGCCCTCCTCCCAGCCTTTCCCCTAGCCTTGGGCAGCCTGGCACCAGCCTGGCCCCCGGGGAGCCCTGGGGGCCCTTCAGGAGGCACAGGGGCCTGGGAAAGGAAGCATGACGGCTGTAACAGGCAGGCTTTTTCCACTGTGCACGGCTGAGTGAGGAGAGGGAAGGAGAAGGAGTGGGGCCCTGCCTGGGTCCGGGCAGGGCACTCTGCCACAAGGTATCGCCTGTTATATCTCCTCCAGCCCTTCTGCAGATTGGGCCTTCTCATCAGCCCCATTGCACAGGGGCAGAAACTGAGGCTGGGAGAGCTGCGGTGTCCTACAGAACCAGGATTTGAACCCAGGTCTGGCTGTCCCAAAGCCAGTTCAGCTGGGGTACAAGGAGGGAGTGGGGGAGCTGTCCTCTGTCCTCTCTTAGGTTACAATGGGGCCAGTCCTACCTGGAGTGACCTTGAAAGGGAGGAAAGTTCATGGGCAGATCAGAGGGGGTGTGTGGTGTGTCTCGGCGGTGGGGTGCTTAGGGGCTGCTGTGCGCACACGTGCGTGTGTGTGTGTATGTGAGTGTGTGAGTGTGGCAGCTGCCCGCCTGCCCTCTCCAGGTGGGGTCCAGTCCTGCGGATGAAGGAACAATGGGACTCAGGGCTCAGAGCACTTAACTCTGTAGGGCCAGGTGCTGGGGACCTTGCTCCCTGGAGATGACATTTAAGATCCCGCTTTCCCTGGGAGGCTGTAGGGCCCTTTGTTGGTGGTGAGCTTGCGGCTGGGCTCTGGGCTCTGTGTACGGCCGCAGTGGGTCCCACCAGCCCAGGTACCTGACGGCTGTGCCGGAGTGATACCGGAAGTCAAATGGAGCCCAGGACCCTGCCCTGTAGCCCCCCTTCTGTACCAGCCCTGGGCCTGTGGTGCCGAGGGGAGCCCTGTGTCTGTGTTGGTGGGGAGGGACCATCGGGCGGAGGAAGGCAGCCGACCCTCTGAGCAGGGGTTGCCGACACAGCCCAGGCCTGCAGTGCTGTGGCCTGAGTGTCAGCCTTACGCCATGGGATTGAGGTCTGGGGGCTCTGCTCAAGGGGTGGAGACGTTAGGAAATGCTAGTTAGGCCCCTCTCCTGATGCTTCCTGGCCTCCACCCCAGAGCCCCTGCTACATGGGGGACGTGGGGAGGAGGGGGTGTCTGTGTCTAAGTGCCCATCTCAACCAAGCACTTGGTGCGGGCCAGGCACTACCTTACGCCCTTCACGGGGGTCACATCTTAGATTCTCACAGCATCCCTGTGAGGGAAGACCCTTTGCTTCCCCAACTATGGATGGGGTGACTGAGGCACAGAGAGTGTAAGTGACCTGCCCACAGGCACACAGCTAAGAAGTGGTGGCCCTGGGATTTGAACTCAGAGAGTGTGGCTTCTGCAGCTAAGCTCTTCTGGCTTTAGCAGTTAGCTGGCACTTTATAAAATACTTTCTGTCCGTTATTTTGTTTCTGCTTTGACCAGGCCTAGGGAAGATGTAAGGATTGTTGTTTCCATTTCACAGATGAGAAGACGGGCTCAGAGAAGCAACTTGCCCTGATTCGTGCCTGACAGATCAGCATCCCTGTCCCCACTCAGGCTGCAAGCTACTTAAGGGCAGGGACCCAGTCCCACCACCCCTACATGGCTCACAGCACATCCTCACTAATGCAGTCCTTTCATTTAAATGTGTAGGTGCTGTGCTGCGTGCTCTTGACCAAGCTTCTCCTTTTGCCCATGGATCTCGAGGAGCTGGGAATTACAGCTCCATTTCACAGATGGGGAAAACCAAGGCTCAGAGCAGTGTGACTTGTCCACTAAACATGGGCAGTAAGGGACACAGCAGGACTGAGTCAGGCAGCCTGGCCGGCCTGGGTGAGAAGGGTTAAAACACTATGGAGACCTATATGAAGGGTTAAGTCAAGTCTGAGCATACCTGGTGCTGGCGAGGATGGGGGGTAAGGGAACACTCATGCATTGTGGGGAAAAGGAAATGGTTCACTGCTCTGGAATGCAGTCTGGCACTTCTAGAGTTAAACGTAGATTTACCATATAACTCAATATAATTCCACGCCCAGGTATTTACCTTCGAGAAATGAAAACTCATGGTCACACCAAAACCTGCACATGAATGTTTATAGCAGCTCTATTCATAATTGTCAAACTCTGAAACAACTCAGACATCCTTCAGTGAGTGACAGGGTAAAGGAACTGGTACGTTGACGCCAGGTACTGGTACATGGATTCCCACTCTCCTGCCGAGAGGAAGGGAACGTCCATATACACAGCAGCCTGGATGAGTCTCAAAGACATGATGCTGAATGAAAGAAGCCAGTATCCACGGTTATATACTACATGAATCCATTTATGTAACACATTTGAAAAAACAGAAACAAAACTACAGTGACAGACAACAGATCAGCGGTTGCCTGGGGTGAGGGGAGGGTCTGACTGGTGATGCAGCTGCCCTGGGTCCTGATTTGGAGGCGGTGGTTGCCTGGATCTATACATGTGCTAAGATTCATATAACTACAGACCCCAAAGAGGTTCATTTCACCGTATGCAAATTAACAAATAGAAGGCCAGAGCGGAGGCCGGAAGAGGAAGGGTGGCGACCAGCCCGCCTGGGGCTTCCTTCATGGAGGGATGGGTGAGGGGCCAATGGCTTGCTGGCTCCCTGGGGGCAGCCTCCCGCGGGTCCACCTGGCAAGTGGGAGGGACGCCAGGCTGATTATAGCTTCTACCTGGATCCACCAGAAGGTGGTAGCGAGCGGCTGAGGTGTTGTGACAGTGCCCGGGCCCCCCCACCGAGGAGCCTGGTTAAACCCTCGCTACCCCAGGCGGCTGCCCCGGCTGCCCAGCATCAGCCATTCATTGAGCTGCCTTCCTGGTCACCACCAGCCGCCGCCTCCCATTCCCCGGGATGTATATGCGTGGGAGAGGAAAGCATAGCTGTGCCTGTTTTACAGGTGAGGGACTAGGCCAGGGGGCTTAGAAGGGCAGTGGGGCCTGGACGTTACTCACTAAAGACCTCCAGTAATGACCTTGGCCATTATTTCCAAACTCGAGCTGGTATGCTCCCTGCCCAGTTCATCCAGTGTAAAGCCATGTTATCCAGACACCCCACCGTTTGATTCTTTGTTCTGATGTTTATTTGCTGGGTGCTTTATTTTGTTCTAAGACACTGGGTCTTAGTGTCTTAGAGGCTGGAAAACTGGAGGTGACCTGGGGACATTTCTGTGCCCTGCCTCTGGCTGGGGCTGAGAGGGTGAGACTTGCGGGGGGCCACACAAAGACCTGAGTCTGATGCCTGGTCGGGGGGGGTCCAGCAAGCCCACCTCAGGTCCTGGTTGAGGGACAGGCAACTTCTGAGCCCTGTCTGTTATCGGGGGTGGTTTTCCTGCCTTGCTGGAGAGTAGCTGTGGGTGGGAAAGAGGTGCAGGGATATGGGAGGCACCCAGCACTGGTGCAGCACGTGATAGGGTGGGGGTACTACCATTTTTCAACCCGGTCTTCTATCGAGCCTCATTGAACTTGGTTTTCTCATCTGTAGAATGGGTGTAAATAGTACCCATCTTGCAGGGCGGCAAGATCACGGGAGCCCACTCAGGGCCAGCTTCTGGAAACCTTTACCTCACTGTGGTTTACACTGTTGTCTCCTCCACATAGATTTTGTGCTGACTGAAGGTGAGGACGGCCACTCAACTCACATCAGCGTCTCCACTGCCCGGCACACAGTAGGTGCTCAAGAGCTGGTCTGAGGTGGAGCTGGGGGGAGGCCGGAGGTTGGGGGCCATCAAGGATCGTGGGCAGACCTGGGGGGGTGAGGGGAGAGCAGGGAGGGGCAAGGCCCGAACTGCTGCCACAGCCCTGCCAACTCTCCTGGCCATCCCTCCTCTGGCTCAGTTGGGTCCTGGGGTCACCCCCTCCCCTTGTTTTCAGCGCTGGCAGGTTAGAGGGAGGATGTCTGGGAGGGTGGGTGGGAGAGCTTGCTGGGCAGAGGAATTGTCTGGGCAAAAGTTCAGTGGCGGCCTGGACTCCAGAACTCAGGAGCCCTACCCAGGCTTGGGTAGACCCTTCCCTCTTCTGGCAAGGCTGACCCAGGCCCCAATTTACCCCCTGCCCCCAGGAACCTTTGGGTACAGTCTATCCAGGCCTGAATGCCTTGTCCTGGGCCTATACCTCCTCCAGGGCTGTCTGTAAGGCTCCCTCCTGCCTGGTCGTCTGGGGTGTGCCACATCCACTTAGGCCAGACGGGCTGGCGGAGCTGGAAGGCCTTAGGACCATCTGCCCTAACGCATTTGACAGGTGAGGAAGCTGAGGCCAGGAGAGGGCAGTGACTTGACCCTTTTAGTCACACAGTCGGGTGGTTAGGGAGCCCAGTACTGCACCTGGACCCTCAGATTCCTCCTCCAGTGTCCACCTGCTGCCCCAGGTTGACGGGGAGGCCTCCCCAGGCCCTGGGCTGGGGTCTGGCTGCCCTCTGAGATCTGGAAGCTGGGCAGGGCCCGTGGCTGAGGCTGGTGTCTCCCTGCAGCCCTCCTACAGACGCCGGGCTCCAGGACAAGATGGCAGCCAAGCAGCCCCCACCTCTCATGAAGAAGCACAGCCAGACGGACCTCGTGAGCCGCCTGAAGACCCGGAAGATCCTCGGCGTGGGCGGGGAGGATGACGACGGGGAGGTCCACCGCTCCAAGGTGGGCGGAGCTCGGCGGAGGGGCCTCGAACCAGCCACATGGGGTCTGCCTCCGACCACCAATTTGGGGAGGCAGGTCTGGCCCACTGTTTGAGGAGAATAGCTGAGACCCGTTACAGCTGCAGGGAGCCTCCAGATTTAGCTCATATTTTCTAGAAGTCTGATGGATATGTCGGAGGAATGTAGCAATAATGAAAATGGGTCGTTAGAATTAGTTGAGTGCTTATTATTTGCTTCTTATGGCACCAGCTACTTTATAAGCATTATTTACCCTGGGAGATGTAGGGTCAGTTATTAACCCATTTTACAGATGAGGAAACTGAGACTCAGAGAGCTTAAGGACTTCCCCAGGGCCACACCAATAAGTGGCAGAGCCAGCCTTCAAGCCCACATCTGGCAGACCTCTGAGCTTTCATCCTCAGCCACTGTATTTTCAGCTTCCCATAAGCCCCGGTGTCTAGAGGAGGAAGAGAGGGTGTGCCTCAGTGTGACCCTCCCAGCCTGGGTGACCCTTTGGCTAAGCAGAGCCACCTGGGCATCCAGGGGCCTCTGGGAGGGGGTGAGTAGACTGGGCAGGCAGAGCTGCCTTCAGCCTGGTTGCCTCTGACCCCTCTGTGTCCACAGATCAGCCAGGTCTTGGGCAATGAGATGAAGTTTGCTGTTCGGGAGCCTTTGGGCCTAAGGTGAGCATTACGAGTTTGGTGGGGGACAGGGCTGGGGGAGGGGCTCATCAGCCTTGTCCCTGTGTACTCTTGTCTTTGGTTCCATCCCGTCAAATTCCCTCCCCCAGACCAGCCATCCCTGGGCATCTTGGCTGGAGAGGGAAGGGTTCTGCGGGGCCTGGGGTGGCTCTGACCTTCCTCTCCACGCCTCCCCAGGGTCTGGCAGCTTGTCTCTGCTGTGCTCTTCTCTGGCATTGCCATCATGGTGAGTCCCTGCCCCGCCCCTGGGACCTGGCCCCCTCCCCTGCCCTGGAGCATCCTAGCTCCCGTGGTCCGTGGTCCCAACTCCTTGTCACTGGAACCTCAGATCTTCTGTCCTGGAAGGGAGGGGTCGGGGGCAGTCAGTGTCCTGATCCTGGACTGCTACTGGGGAAAGGAAGGAGATGTCCAGGGAAGTTTCCACAGAAAGCCCCTCACCCTGAGCCTCCTGCCCGCTGTCCGCAGGCCCTCACCTTTCCTGACCAGCTCTATGATGCAGTGTTTGATGGAGTGCAGGTGACCAGCAAGACCCCCATCCGCCTCTATGGCGGCGCCCTCCTCAGTGAGTATTGCTGGGGCAGACTCTGGGGAGGTGATAGGCAGCCGAGGGACCCATAGGGGCCGAGGGAACATGGGGAGCCTTCTTTGTGCAGGGGCTCCCCTTCTCAGAACCCACGCTTCGGCCAACAAGTCTGTCTCTGCTGGGTGTGTGCTGCCATCTTGTGGCCACTGGTAGACTGTCCCCAGGGGATTGGGACTGTCCTTAGCATCATCTGGGACAAAGCACTTATTGAGTGCCTGCTGTGTGCAGTGCACCACCTAGGCATTGGGGTAGAGAAATGAAAGAGGCCCAGGCTTCGCCCTCCAGGGCCTCACAGCCCAGAGGAGGAGGCAAAATCAACAGTGTCTGTAAAACCCTCGCCCTTGGACCGCCCATTTGAACCACTTCTGTTTCCTCTCCAACCTGAGTCACACGCAGCAGTGCCTGTTAGGAAGCTAAATGACAGCATTTAAAACCCAGCACTGGGGGTGTCCCTCCTCTTCTCCAAAACATTCTATGGCTCCCTATTACCCACAGACTGAAGTCCCAGCTCCTTCCGGTCTCTGATATTCAGGGTCATCTGTGGGGTGCATCCAGCCTGCCTTCCAAACCTCCCTCCCCCACATCCCACGGTGGGCCCCGGACCCCAGCCGCACCTCCTGAGGCCCCCGTTTCAGAAGGCCTCCACGACTTTGCAACGCAGTTTCCCCAGCCTTGTGCCAATTGCACTTCTACTTGACCTTCAAGGGCCAGCGCCAGTAGCTCTGGGGTGGGGCTGGGGGGTGGGGACTGGGGCAGCTTCAGGCCCTTCAGCCACGCAATGGGAGAGCTAGTGTTACGGGTTATGGGTCAGGTTGGATGACGGAGGAGTTTTAATTTGAGCAGTGGGAGTGGGGGCAGGGCATGTCCGGGATCCTGGCTACTTTGTCAAAGGGTGGAGGACCAGGCCCCCTGCCCGTCCCCCAAGGGGGCAGGTGGATCAGGCTACTCCGCCCCCCACTCCCCTCTTTGTCCCCCACCCCAGGCATCTCCCTGATCATGTGGAACGCTCTCTACACGGCTGAGAAGGTCATCATCCGATGGACCCTGCTCACCGAAGCCTGCTACTTCTCGGTCCAGTTCTTGGGTGAGTCCTGAGGTGGGCAGTGATGGGGAAGCTGATGGGGTACAGGGTGCGGGCAGCTTGGCCCCTGGCCTCCGAACTCTTGCCACTTGTTTTCTGGGAAGCGATGAAAACCTGTGCGAGGGGGAGGGACTCGTGTGGCTGGGTTGACCTGTACACCTGCACACCTGTGCTCACGCAGCTGATAGGTGCCTGTATCCTCCTGCATACATGCCCGTGCACCCACAATCCACTGCTCATTTGTGGACCCAGCACAGGTGTGATGGCACACAACCAGTTCTGCCCACATGATCGCCCCCCATACCTGCTGTGGTTGGGCAGCTGATAGGATGCCCCAGCTCAGGGCGGGGGTCAGTCAGGCAGCCACCCTGAGGCCCATGGCATCCCGAGCTGGGGTAAGGGCTATCCCCACCTCTGACCTGTGTCCCCCCGGCCTCTCTCCCACAGTGGTCACTGCCACACTCGCCGAGACGGGCCTCGTGTCCCTAGGGATCCTGCTGCTCCTGGCCAGCCGCCTCCTTTTTGTCGCCATCAGCGTTTACTACTATTACCAAGTCGGCCGAAAACCCAAGAAAGTGTAGCCGCCCGCCGGGCCAGGGGCCCCTCTGGGGCAGGGAGGCCTGGGGACCTCGGTTTCCCTTTGGTTCCAGAAGGCAGGAAGGACCCTGCCCCAGGCAGGCAGGAGTGGCCGCCTTCCTCTCCTCCTGGGCACTCCCCGAACGCTGTGATCTCCTGGGCCCTCAGGTTTGGGGAGGGATGGAGCCTCTGCACCCCATCCTTCCCCCCACACGGTGACGCCTCATGTTCATGGGTGTCTCGGCCTCTGGATCCCCTGGACAGATGCGCGAGGAAGAGCCTGAGTCACAGGCATCTGGCCAAGGCCAGGCTCCTGCCCCTCTGTCACAAGACCCTTCTTTCTTGAGAGGCTGTGGACCGCCTCCTTGCTCTCCCCCAGGCCCCCAGCCAGTCTAGTGCCCAAGCAGCTGAACTTGGCTTCTGCCCATGCCTGGAAAACCTTAGAATTTGACCCCGGGCCCCTTCCCTTCCATGCGGGCGCTCTCCACATGTAGGGGACCCTCTGCCCCCTAAACACACAGCGCCGCTGCGGGCTGGCAGGCAGGGGTCCGCCTTTGACCCCTGGCACCTCCCCTTCCGCCTTCTGTGAGGTGGGCTGCAGGTAGCAGGGCCTTGTCCTCAGCCACAGCCTCTCCTCGGGCCTCGCTCTTGGCTGCTCTGCCTCCACGCAGCTCCTGAAGGCCCCTAGATGCCCCCTCTCCCAACTGGCCTGTGTCCAGAGGCTGCCAAGGGCCTCAGCCACAGGCCGGCCCTGACAGATGGACACCCGGGTAACCCCAGATGGCGGCCACCTGTAAGTGACGGGGTTTGTGGTTGAGGAAGAGAGAGAAGCATGTCTTCATCACTTGGCATGTCCTCCAGGGTCCGAGGTACACCTGGCTCAGCCCCCTTGTCCACCCTCCCCCCCCTCCCCAGGGTGCTGCCCTCTGGCCTGGGGTGCCTCTGGGGCCCGGCTGGGTAGGACTGGGTGCTCTTCAAGCTCAGCAGGGGCAAAAAATAGAAATATTTCAGCAAGCCGCCTCCTCTCATGCCCAGCCCCCATCAGATGCCCTGGAAGAGGCCGACAGCTGGCTCCCTCAGAGATGAAGACCCCTGCAGGCCCAGCAGCCTGTGTGCCCCCCGTGAGTCCTTTACCCGACGCCCCCCCTTCCCTCCGGCACCCCAGGAATGGCAGCCCCCATGTCCTGGGGACAGATGTGGAGAGAAGCAGCCCCGGCCCCAGACTTGCTTCCCGTCTTGGAAGAGAGTGTTTAGGGGGCGAGATGGTTGGTCCTTAGGTGCAGCCCAGCTCTGGCTGCTGCGCCCTGGGCCCGGGCCCTGCCCACGCTGGGCCTCGCTGCCCTCCCCCATGCCCAGCTGTCCCTGCAGCCACATGTCCAGGGACACGGCCTGTGCCCAGCGGAGCACGGCACCGCCGCTGTTAACACAGCCGAGGAGAGAGGCCCAGCGGGTTGGGCGCCCAAGGCTGTGCTGCTGGTAACCGCGGCTGAGCGGAAGGGAGGCTAGACACTAAGGAGGGGCCGTCCTCTCCTGGCCTCCGTCTCTCGAGGCTGAAGTTCGTGCCTCTTTGCAGAATCCTGCCCCCAACCGCCGAGCCCCAGGCAGGCCCAGAGCCACGGCAGCCTTTGGGAAGTGGTACTGGCTGGTGGGCAGTGCCCCCAAGCCAAGGCATGTCCTCTGAGCTGACCCATGCTCTTTGAGGCCTGGCTAGCATGCCGCCAAGCGGTGGATGGTCTGTCCTAATGACCGCTGGGCTTGTTGGATAGATTTCCCTCGGGAGGCTAGCAGGGCAGGGGGAAGTCCGGGCACTGGAGCTGGGCTTTGTGCCGGATGTCCGCGGGGGCTGAGCCAGCCAAGCTGAGGGAGGGTGGCAGGACCTTGTCCCCGGGGGTGGTAATGCGGGCCTGCTGGGACGATGCTGTCCTGGCTCTGTCCCTCCTAAAGGTTTGGGAGAACCCAGAATGCCCCTTCCCCGGTTCACTTGCCAGCCTCCTGCCTCGGCCCAGCTTCCCCACCCCGCCCCCAAACCAAGACCACCTTTCCTCACGGTCACTATTTATTCTTTGTTCCTTTCTCTTTTTGTAAGAAACAGTCACAAAAACCAGTGCAAAACCATCAGTGTGGGCGTCCTGCTTTATATTACAAAAACTCCTCTTGATATAGAATATAAAAAAGGGAGGCTCACAGGAAATAAACTTGATAAATTAGCTCTGCTACCTACCGCAAGGAACACTTAGTTTTCAAAATAGACTTTAGACATAGGACCCACCGGGGAGGGGAAGAGGGGGCTTCTAGGGAGATGGGGGTGCTGGGCCTCGGCCGGTTTGGGGGATTCTGTCTGGGCCCCTTAGGCATGGAGAGGAGAGAGGGGACAAGGGAGGCTGGGGAGGGGCCCCAGTGCCCAGCCACTAAGCAGAGAAGGTGGCCTTCGGTGCTGGGCGGGGTATGTGACCAAGTGCAAGGTCTCCCCTGGCACCTGGCCTGTTAGCAGGGTCAGGAAGTCTCAGCACAGAGACTTCCTACCCTCCCGCCTCCCCCAGCAGCCCCCAAATTGCCATCTGCACCTATTAGGGACTGTGGCTGCTGGCCTTTGCCTTCTCGTGTCCCCGAGAACGGCCGCTGGGAGCCTTGCAAATAGCTACCAGCCTGCGTTAATGCTACAGAGCAGAGACGCCTGCTTCCCCTTTACGGCCCCAGAACGTGGTCAGCGGGGGCAGATCAGGGCTCCTTGGCCCCTTTCTGGAGAGCCCTTGGGGATTAGGGTCTTACATCTGCCCTCAAACCCGCCTCCCCCAGGTGTTCCTCAACGACCAGCCTTTCTTCTCGGGGGCCCGGAGGAGGTGGTGCCCGATGCCCGGCTCTTCTTACCTTGAAGGCCCCAGATTCTCCTGGGCAGTGGGGACCAGATGGGTCGCCCTGACGCCTGGGGCGCCCCTGGACTGAAGTCACACAGCTGCCCAATTTGACCCTAAGCCCTGCCTAGCCAGCCTGATTTTTTTTTCTTTTTTTTTTTGTCAACCACACACCAGCCCTTTGCCTCTGCCAGGAAGTTGAAGCCAATTTGTGGGTGGTCTAGAGACCTGCGCTGGGGTACAAGCTGCACGGCCCCCTGGGTCCTGGGGTTGCCCAGTCGCTAGGGAGTTCATAACATCATTTATGGAGTTGCCAGGGCAGACTGATACAGGGACAATCTGGAAAGACCCAGCCCACAATGGGCCAGGACTGGTGAGGACAGCAGAGTGCAAGGGGGAAGGGGAGAAATGGGGGGAGGGGCAAACCAAATCTTTACAGCAGGCACAGAGCTCCGGCCCCATCTCAGAAGGGGGTAGGTGGCAGAGCAGGGGAGCGCTGGGCTCTAGGCCACTGCTCTGTCTCCCAGTGGCTGGAAAGCTGGAGGGGAGGCTGGAAGCTGGCACAGGGCCTTTGAGATAGAATGGGCTCTTCCCAGACCCTGAAGAGGGACAATGAAGAGAGGAGAGCAGGCACCATACTGTCCCTTCCACACCCATCCCTCAACAAGCTTGAGTTGTTTGGCAGACATCACTAATCAAGATTACACTGTCCTCCCCCACTGAGCCCAGACCAAGCCTCAGGTTCTCCGCACAGCCTCTGGCAGCCACTCCTGATTGATCAGGGTCGAGGCATCTTGCAATAGAGTTGCTAACACTGGTCTAGAATTTGAGACCTGCACATGAGGGGCTGATTTGTGGGTGCTGTGTGGGTGTGAGTGAGTCTGTGGGGAAACCTCTCCCTGCCAGATCCTGGAGGAAACACTCAGAAATGTGCTATGGACAGCGAAGCGACAGGAAAACCGTGTCACAGAAGAAATGATGAGGTGCCCTGGGGTTCTTTAGCCTGGAAATAACGGGGCTCAAGGAGAGCAAGTGGGATGCCATGGACAGAACCACAGGAAAACAGGAACCTCTTCCGTGTATTGAGCTGATGTTAAAGTCAGAGCAGTCCAAAGAGAAGCCTGTCTTGGGAGGTAGTAAGCTCCGCGTCCTTGGAGGTGTGCAAGAAGAAGGTGGAGAAGTCTTGGCAGGGATCTTGTGGAAGACATCTGAGTGGCAGTTCTGAGTGAGGAGAGGAGAACCAGATGATCTTGGGGGTTCCTTCCAGCGCTGGGGGCCAGGGAATTGGTGGAGTTGGTGGAGGAAAGGTGGGCAGTGTAGAAAACGGGCTGTGGTGTGTGTGCATGTGTGTGTGTTCCTGGGACTTAGAGAAAAGTGTGGGGAGGTGGCAGGGAGAGCAGGGAGGGCAGAGTCCAGAATTTTCTTAGCTGTGGAGCCGGGAAGAGGCAGTTCCTGACCAGCTTGCCCGCTCTCTTCTGGGGAAACCAGGATGCAGAGGCCAGGGAGGGGTGTGAGCAGTAGGTCTGCTGGGACCAACAGAACCCTGGAAGGAGTGACAGGCAGCCTGGGGATGGCGGGGTTCTTGTTCAGAACTGTCACGCACGTGCTGTGTGACTGTGGATGAGAAACTGCTCCTCTCTGGGCTTTCCAGATTATTTGCTCCAACAGATGGGGAAGCACGGACCCTACTGGCTGGGCCATCCTTGGACCCAGCATCTGCAGCCCACTCTTGGCCCCAGCCTGAGGCAGGGACAACTCCATCCTCGGAGGACCGGGGACTCCACGTAGGTTCCACGTCCTCAAGGACATGGTGACCAGGTCTCCTCGGCGCCCGTGGGCTTTGCCAACCTTTCTCCACAATTTTCTTTTGCCTCCTTCTTGCCTAAATCCTTATTACTTCCTTGGCACCAGATCCTGAAGCTGTGAGTTGAGGGCGCAGGTCCCGGGCTGCCAGATCTGGCTGCACCAAGGAGGGGGCCTGGCCCTGGTGTTGCTTTGGTCTCTAGTGCAGGCTGCATCCTGGGTTCAGGTGCCCGGGCCCCCGCGGAGAACCCCATGGCGCCCGTTCCGGAGTCCAGATGGGCTACATCAGTCCATGGTTTTGCCTTCATTTTTTTTTGTTAAAAAAATAGCTATTTTCCTCTGCCCCATTTCCTAGCCACTCATCATGGCCTCACCTCCTTCCCCGGGGCCAAGAGGGCAGGGGCGAGGGGGAGGGGAGGGCATTGGGTGCTGGGCAGTGGTGGGTGGGGTGAGTCTTCAATCTTCAGGCCACACCCTCTACTGGATGCCCCGGAAGAGGCACATGGCAAAGACCATGGCAAAAAGCTGCAAAGAAAGTAGGAGTTTGCTTGTCAGGCTGGGCTCACAGCCCTCCAGGGGGCTGACCCTCCCCAACGAGAAGGGGCTGTCTGCTCTGGGACAGGAAGGGGCTCCCCCATCACTCTTAGAACACTCCTGCTGCTGGCACTCCTGACACTGCCCTGAGGGCAAGCCCCTCTTGCCAGTCACTGGTCCCCTTCATGCCGTGTAGTCATGAAAAGAAAGGGGCCTTGGACATGGGTTCAAATCCAGCTCCCTTATTTGCCAGCAGCAAACTTGGGCCAATACTCAGTTCCCTTCTCTGGGCCTGAGTATGTATCAAGAGTCTACCATGTGCTGGGCACGGTTCTAAGTGCTGTCTCAGAAACATTTTCACAGACCAGGAAGTGAGACACAGGGAGGTCAGGTAACCCACCTAAGGTCACACAGCTACAAATGGAGGATCCAGGATTGGAGTCTAGGTATTCTGACTCCAGAGACCATGCTCCTAGCCCCCGCACTCGCCTCCTTCCAACTCACAGGAAGGAGGCGAGATTGAAGTCTAAGGCAATTAACGATGTAATGAGCCCTGTTATATTGTAGATGCTTAATTAGAAGTTACCAGGATTGTTACTAATAGACAAGGAAGATGCAGCCCTTCTCCAAGCTAGGAGCACAATCACTGAACACCTGTCTAAGGGCCCTGGGGTAGTGGGGTGTGTAGAGACCCTGACTCAGAGATGCCCATTTCTTCAGACTGGCTGATGCCCCTGTGCCAGAGCTCTTGCAAAAGGTCCCCGAATCATTCTGCCTGGCACAGAGGCCACAGCTGGGCTTGCGGGCTGGGTGTGAGGGCAGTAGGTCAGGAACACAGGCATTGCTTAGCGAGCCCCTATTACACGCCAGGCACGTAGTCCCCGGCACCTGTAAGCCCCACCGTGCCCTAGGAGCAGGCTTTTAGCACCATGTTGCAGATAAGGAAACTGTGGCTCGGGCATCCTGTGCGTGGGGCGAGGCAGAGCTGGAAGGTGAACTCTAGAAGCCCATGTTCTTCCTGCAGGGGACCCACGCCTGCGTTTTCCCAGGGGGTCTGGTACTGATTTGTGTTTCTTGTTCATTGTTTCCTCCTAGGAGAGGACTTGTTCACCTAGAATAGCGTTGGCATACAGTAGGGGCTCAATCTTTGCTTGAAGAACGAATGAATGAATGACCCCTCCCTCTCCCCATCCTCAAGTCTCCACAAAACTGCTCTAAGCAGGGCTGCAGGACACAGTAAGCAGCTAAGCAAGACCATGTTAATGGTGCCAGGTGGGAGGGGGAAGGCTGAGGATAGGGTGGCCTGATTTCACTTCCTGACTGGCCGAAGACTGGCAGCCCCTTTCTTGAGATGGGCGGGCCTGGGCAAAGCCCTCCGTCCAACCTCCCAGGGCAGCGGGTTTGAGATCCGGGAGAGGGTGGTAGAAGGAAGGGAAGGGGGCAGCTCTGCCCTTTGGCCAAAGCGCCACCTAGTGGTGGCTCCAAGAGTCTGCGGCTGCCTTACGTTTGAGGGGGCTCAGGGCCCTTCTGTCTTCACCTCTGGGGCTCAACGTGCGCTTGTGAGGTCCTCAAGGCCCCGCAGGCCCTGAACACCCCACAGAGAATGGGCCTGATCTAGAAGCACAGGCTGTGGCCCCTCCCTGAAATCAGCTGCGTTGATCCTTCAGTCAGAGTTCACTCTGGACCGTGGGTAGGGGTGAGGGCAGCGACTCTCAGGGCCTGTCCATGCCCACTGCCCACAGACTTGCTCAGATGTGTCCAGAGTCCCAGGGTGACTCGCGGGCAGCAGATAGGCACGGCTGGGCTTACCTGCCCATCGTCCCTGCAGTGGGGACCCACTGGGTCCTGGGTTAAGGACCTGGAGACGGAGGCAGGCTGGGGGTGCAGGCCATGGGGGATCTGCCTGAGACCCTGTGTAGGTGTCTGTCTTGCTTCTGAGGAGCCACAGAAGCGGGGGCCTTTACTTACCTCGATGGCCAGCACCCCTATGGCGAGGGCTCCGGCCAGGTAGACGTAAGTTTCGAAGGCGTTGAGGATCACCGTGTAACAGCCCTGGGAGGGAAGGACCAGAGGTAAAGCCATAGCCAGGAAGGAGGGACAGAGGTGAAGGGCCAGCCTCAGGACAGGGGTGTGAAGCCTGGGAACTGGCATGTGGCCCCAAAGCTCAGGCAGCAGCAGGCCGACCCTGTCACACCGCTGCTGGGACAGTTTGGAGGGGAGGAGCCGGGGAGGTAGGAGGCCCATAAGCTCAGCCACTCAGCAGCAATACACCAGAGACCCTCCTGGCCCTCCAGCCCCTAAGGCGGGGCTGAAAACTGCCAGACTGACTGCTGCCGAATCAGCCACAGACCCGTTCTTCTTTTCTGATTGGAATATTGGGAAATTTCCCATAAATATCTGGGCTCCTTGCTTCTCTCATAAAATCAGAAGATCCAGCGAGGTAAGCCATCATTTCTTTCTATGTGGCAGTACCTGGGGACAGGTGCTCCCTGGGGAACCACAGTCGCCACCATCCCCTATTGTCCCACACCCACCCTCTCTACTCCTTCCCATTACCAGCCTGGCAGCTGGATTTTGGTTTGTAGCCTCTGCCCTAAGGAAACACAGCCCATTCTTCAAGACCCAGCACATATCTCACCTCCTCCAGGCAGCCTTCCAGGATCAGCCCAGCTCTCACAGGGCCCCTTCTAAATGGATTGAATTCCTGTGCTATTACTGCTTTCTTAAGCAGTCCTCAGGATGTACAGACTGAGGTAGAGATGGACCCAGTAAGACAGAAAGAAAGAGAGGGATGGCATGCAAGCAAAGCCAGGAGCTGCCAGCACGTGACCTCAGCCCCATCCGACCCTGGGTGCCTCGCGTCTTGGTCATCTTCGTGTCCATGCTCCTTCCCCCGGCACCATGCTGACCAGAGACTGATGCACGGTAGTTGCCTTGAATGAAATGTATTTTTAAAGGGGGAGAATTTTCTTTCATTTATGAGAAGCTGTATATCCTTTGGGCCCAGCCAGAGGACTTGCAAGGGAAAGAGCCCCCGGGTGTGGGTGGGGATCATGCCTGGTCCCCGCTGGGTGACTCTGGCTGTTTCTGAGCTCTGTTGAGATTCTTGGGTGATTCTTGGGTGTTCACGCCCATTGTCAATCACCCAGAAGCGCCGCCTCATTGGCCGGAAGTGGAAATGATGCCCCATGAGGCTGTGCCCAGGCAGGTGGACGGCAGGACGTGATCTGGGTAGAGTGGCCAGGTGGCTAGCATGAGACCCTCCTGCTGGAGGCTGATGGGGGCTGGGCAGGGAAGGCTCCCACAGGCCCCCCTTTGAACACTCAGCAGCAAATAGGATGTACCCAGATAAACAGACCCCTCCAGCACGATGTCCTGGATCCACAGTGCTCTTGGGGCTGACGGTGTGTCAGAATCATCTGGGAGGTGGTTAACAATGCAGATGTCAAGGCCTCACCCCCAAGACTCTGGATCAGGGGGTCTGGTGTGGAGCCCAGGAAGCTACGTCGTGAGCAGATGCTCCAGGTGATTTCTAATGCCTTTGCCATGGCCGGGCTTTGAGACACCACAGTCCCGGCAAGGACAGCAAGGAAAGAAGGTCTTAGCTGAACTCGGGCCTTGTCTCAGCAGTGTCACTGGGAGCCCAGCTAAGGGCTGTGTGATCGGAGCCCTAAGGGCGCCCTCCCACAGGCCAGCTGGTCAGGAACCCAGAGCGGCTGGAGGCAACTTCAGAGCTGGCAGGGAAGCCCCATCCGCCTGGCCAGGCCAGGGCCATCCTGGATCCGCCTGCAGAGCCGTGTCAGGGCAGAACTCAAACTGCCAACCCCCTTGGTCTGTTTAACTCTTTTTAAAGCATCAGAACCCCAACACGTAGAGCCATGGCAGCAGGAAGCTGGCCTGCTCTGGAGGGAAGGGAAGGGAGACAGGGAGGAGCCTGGGAGGGATGCTTCCGGCCTCCCGTCATCCCCTCTGGCTGCCACCTGCCTCCCGGGGCCGACGACAGCACCCACTGCTGCACACCAGCCCTCTACCCCGACACTGGCTTTGTCGTGCAGTCTGGGGGCCTTCCAGACGAGAAGCACCAATGACCCGGGGAGAAGTGCTGGTTACACCAGCCGCTTGCTTACTGGGCACACTGATAGGCACCCCTCGTTTTATTGCATTTCATGGATATCGTGTTTTTTTGGAAATTGGAGGCTTGTGGCAACCCTGCGTTAAGCACGTTGTTGGCGCCATTTTTCCAACAGCATTTGCTCACTTCGTGTCTCTGTGTCGCATTTTGGTAATTCTCGCAGTATTTTAAACTTTTTCATTATTATTGGATGCGTTACAGGAATCTGTGATCAGTGATCTTTGACGTTACTACTACCTCTCGCTGATGGCTCAGATGATGGTGAGCATTATTTTTTTAGCAATAAAGCATTTTTAAATTACGGTATGCACACTGTCTTTTTAGACAGAAGGCTATTGCACACTTAATAAAGTGTAGTGTAAACATAACTTTTATAGGCACTGGGAAACCAAAAAATTCGTGTCCCTCTCTTTATCACGGTGGTCTGGAATGGAACCCGCAGTATCTCTGAGGTGGGCCTGTACTTACTTTTTCTAGGCCTCACTTGCCCCATCCAGAAACTGGGGCTATGTAGGCCACCTACTTCAGAGGGTTGTGTGAGGATAAAATGAGATGCTGCAGACAAAGCACGTTGAACAGGGTTGGCAGGGAGCCAGCCCTCGGTCCCGTTAGGACCATGCTGTCTCCCTCTGTGCCCCTGGGTGGTGGGAAATGTCTGAGTGCAGAGTTGGGTGTGTGGGTTTACCCTCTATGGCCCTGGGGATCCATGCACGAGACACACACACACACACACCCTGGGGATCTGTGCACAAGACACACACATACACACACACACGCCCTGGGGATCCGTGCATAAGACACACACACACACAAACACACGCTCTGGGGATCCGTGCATGAGACGCACATGCACACACACACACACACACACACTCTGGGGATCCGTGCACGAGACACACACACACACACACACACACACACACACACCCTGGGGATCCATGCACGAGACACACACACACATACACATACACATACACACACACCCTGGGGATCCGTGCACGAGACACACACACACACACACACACACCTATACTACAAGGGGACAGGAGGAGCAGTAAATCCCTTCCTGAGCTTGAAGTTGATTTTATGTGCCTCACCCGGGCCGGTGGGTGGGAGCTGTCCCCAGAGGGAAGATGTCCCTGCACCCCTCATCTGCTGTGGATGAGGTACCTGGGGCCCTAACTGCTCGTCTGCCCTCTGTTGGGCTGTGGCACCAAAGACCCTTTGGGTCCCCGGGCTGAATCGAGCAGACCAGTTGGCTGATGGAGGCTCTGGTACTGAGACGCCCTCGGAGGGAGCAGTGAGGGCAGGGGGTGAACGGAAGATGCCCCCAACACTCAGCGAGTGTCCGCCCTGGCCGGAGCTCTGCTGTGGCCTCAAGTGCTTGTTACGACTTAGTCCCCATTCCAGCCCCTCAGGGAAGAGGGAAGAAGGGAGGGAGCAGCTGACTACTTGCTCAAGGTCACACCAAGGAGGCAGCGAAGCGTATTTACACTGAGGGAACTCCAAGCTCCCAAGAGCTGCATCAGGAAGCCTCGGTTCTCGCTCACCCAGGCGGGGTCCCTGGCTCAGGGCCCGGAGCTGCCTACAGCCCGGGTATCACCTCTTCCTCACCCTCAGGATGGATGCCCACCCCTTATCCTGACCCTGCCCAGCGAGACGCTGCAGGGGACCATCTCTCCCCAGGCTGCCACCACAGACTGCGAGTCCCCTAGCTGTGCCGCCGTCGCCAGCACCCGTCCTCCGTCTCTGCAGAGAGAGAACATCCCCCACCCCTGGCTCCCGACCAGTTGCCGCGCCCCCCAACCTAATCTGACAGAGGGCAGCTAGGCCAGAGGTGCCAGCACGAAGGCCACCCACATTTACACGTCCAGCATGGACCTTCCCCCGAGCCCTCTAAGTCCAACTGTCCGCTGGCTACCACTGCTTGGAGGTCCCAAAGGCACCTCACACTCAGCTTGCCTCAGACCAGATCTGAGGTCTTCCCCCAAACCAGGACCTATGGAGTCCCCCTCACCACTGCCTCATCCTGCCTTCCCCAAAGTCGGCCTACCACCATGTTACCTCCTGATTCATTTCTCAGATCCGTACACCTCTCTGCGTCTCCACTGCCACCATCCTGGTCTAACCCAGCATTGTTTCTCACTGGGACCAGTGTAAAAATCCATCCTGTTCGCTCAGGTCCATCTCTAACCCCTGGCCACTGAGCAGCCAGGGTGCCAACATGGCCACAACCCCACATAGAACTCGACATGGGCTTCTTTGCTTTTCTAGCATCTTTGCCATGGGCCCGTCAGCACTGCATGGTCTGGCCCTGCTGATACCCTCGCTTTGAGCTAGTCTTGCCTCATTCACGGTGCTCCAGCCCTACTGGCCTTCTCTTGGTCCCTGGAACACACCATGCTCCCTCCTACCCCAGGGCCTCTGAACAGGCTGCGTTCACTCTCTGGCTGGAGTGCTCTTCCCTCGTCAGGAGGATGAGAGTGTAGTACTTTATGTCTAGAGGAGACACAGCAGCATCCATAGTCACAACCCACCAGGAAGTGGGTGGGGCGCACTGAGGATAAAGCAGAGAAACAGCGATGCTGTGGGGAGAGAACACTTAAGACCACCCTGAGAAGTGGGAAAAATGGATGCTTTCCTTTTGGTGGTCACCATACTGGCCTGGAGTCAATGTCTAGCAAGATCACCATCTCCTGGTACACTCCCTGATATTTTCTTTCCAGCAGGGGAATACATTCTTTAATTGCCTGGGTGACTATTTTGACCTAGGGAAGGCTGAGGAATGAGCAGGAGAAGCTGCCATGGTGGATTCAACTCATACCAATGGAGGAGCCCGGTTATTCATCACGGATCACCTTTGGGGATTTCCTTGTTCCTCTTCATTGGCACTCAGTGATAAACAGGGCTGGTGGGCTAGCTCAACACCCATAGGTGAGTGCGCTCTGCCTGAGCTCCTGACAGCCATGTGACTGAGTCCTGGCCAGTGAGACCAAAGCAGAAGTCTGATGGGGGTTTCTGGGAAAGAAGCTGATGCCACCTTCTTCCTGTCTTCAACATGGGTGGGATGTCTGGAGCCGTGGCAGCCATTTTGCCACCATGAAGTACTAAGCACAAAGAAAGGCCACAAGGATCACAGAGACTAGGCCTTGATGGACATGATGGAGCCACTGATAAATATGAGGAGCCACTGTCTTCCAGAATTCTTGCCATTTGCTTCAACCCTTTTAGTTTAGATTTTCAGTTACTTGGAATCAAACATGTTGTTCACTGACTCAGAACTGCGATGAGGATGTGAGGCAAATTCAGAAATGCATCCTGGGCTTCAGGGAAGTGGGCTTTGGAGAAAAATCAAATAGAAATAGTCCCTCAGCAGAAGCTTTTAAAAGGGAAGAATGCTCAGGAGGGATGCTGGTGTCTCAGGAAAGGAATCCCAGGAGTCAATCTCTGGGAATCCTCATGAGAAACAGGGGAAGAGTCATCGTAAAGAACTAATGTAGCCGCACAGGGACCTCTCTGATGAACTTCAATTTCAAAGCCATACCCAGGAGATGGAAGGAGGCATCATAATGGCGAATGAATCCAGAAATGGGAAGCATGTCAGGATGAAGCCCTAAAAGAACAGGGCCCATGGGAAGCCTCCCTGAACAATTCACAAGTGGCCTTAGGATAGAAGCTTGGCTGTGGGCAGCAGGCAATCCTAATGGTAGAAGTTTGTTTGTCTTTATCAACCCCCAGCTGTGCTGGCTGCTCTGCTTCACGGAGTTGTCAGTGTCCCGGCGCCTTGATGCTCTGACATTCTAGGGGGCCACCCTCCTCTGCAAGGTTTGAGGTGGCTGTCACCATGGCTGTCACCAAGATGGCTGTCACCACCAGCCAGGGGTTGGGCGGGGGGAGAAGGAGGGGCAGGCACAGTGCTTGCTCTTAAGGAAGTGACTCCATTGCACAGCTCGCCTCTGCTCACCTCCCTTCAGCTAGAACTGGGTCATATGGCTTAGCTGCAAGGGAGGCTGGAAAGGGGGGCTTTACCTGGTGGTCATGGGGTCTCTAAACCTCCTCTTTCCAAGGAGGAAAAATGAACCGAGCATGGCAGCCAGCAGTCTCTGCCACTGTGTCGGGAATCTGAGGTCCGGAGCGTGTGTCTTGGCCAAGGTGACACAGCTGCTAACAGCCCAGGTCTGCCTGACATCACAGCCTGAAACATCCCCCCACGCCCGGCAGCCTCTCCTCACGGCTGAGACCTAACTCCTGGGGCGCTGCCCCTGCCCCCAGCTCATAGCAGCCTGATTCCAGGACCTTTGTGTCTTTATTTAGGTCTCTTTCCCCCAGTGCAGGGAGGCCGGACCATAAGGGGTAGAAGAATGTGGCTTCTTGGACATGATAAGTCCTTGGACATGACATGAGCAGGTGCAGGGGAGGAGGGTGCTGAGTTCATGAGGCAAAGCTGAGGCTGGAAAGAGTCTCATCAGACAGTCAGGGTCAGGCCGCAGCCCAACTCCCACCCCCTCCGCCCCCCGGGACTCTAAGAGGCCAGATTTGAGCCTCGCCCCCATCCCACCCCAGTCCCTTCTAGCCCATCATCCAGTTCTATTTTCTTTAGAGTAAAATTATTATTTCATGTGAAATTATGACTTGCTATGTGTTGGCTGCTTGCTTGTCATCTGCTTCCTCTAACCAGACTGTAAGCCCCGCAGGAGCAGGGGTCTTGTCTGCTGTCCCCTGCTGTGTCCCCTGCACCTGGCACTCTGCCGTGAGAGCCTCATCAAAGGCCGAATCAAGCGAGGGGTGTGGGGCTCAGGTCACCCTCATTCTCCCCCCACTGCTCTGCCTAGCCTGGTCTCACACACACCCCTGAGGTGTATGGGGACTGGTCAGTGGGAAGGGGATCAAGGTCAAGGGCACTGTCTGCCTCACAGAGGGGGCAAAGCAGGTGCCCTTGCAGCCCCCAGAGGTGGTGCACACAGGAAGGGAAAGGGCTTCTTCTGAGACCGAGATGAAGTCCTTGGGTTGTAAAAGAAGCCAAGAAGTCTAGGAGCTTCCCAGACTCTGGAGACTAAGGTCAGGGAAACCTTGCTCCCGTGGGATCCGGAGGTGCTCCCACATGGCAAAGGTGAGCTTCCCTCCAAATAAAATGCACAGCTGAGGAGGGGCCCCCACTGTGTAATTCTGTTTCTGGCTCCTGACACCTGCATTACCAGAAGCTCAGGGAGTGTTCTACCTGGAACACTGGAAAACTCCTAGTCACCCCTGAACCCCAGCCAAAAGGCCCACTCCTCAATCAGTGCCTGATTGATTATTGATGTCTGTGCAGACATGCGAACGAGGCGGGCTCTGGAGGTCAGACACTGGCTGCACTGGGCATCAGGGCTCTGAATGCTCACAGCCATTGATGGACCGTCTGACATTCTCATCCTTTCCCCCTTTTGGTTGGATCTCAGGAGCACGCATGGAGCCTTCCCCAGCCCCCGTTCAGGAGTCCCATATCACAGCCAACATTTCCGTGGGATTCCCTGAGTGCCTTCAGACCTTCAGGGCCCAAACAGTCACCCACCCAGCTCTGGCCACCCAAGCCCAGATGGACAGGCTTCCCCTGCCTGGGGGAGCGGGGCCTGGTACCTGCTTGTTCAGGAACAGGTCCCTTCCCAGGAGGCATTCCTCCCTGCTCAGCAGGACCCCGTCCCGACTCTGGGGTTCTCTCCGGCAGCAGGCCTCCGGCACCTCGTCACTATCCAAAGTCAGGAGTCGGAAAACTGATGCAAACTTAAAGTCTTCAGGCCCGTTGACCCCACAGCAACCAAACTAGGAGGAGAGCAAAGAGAAGGGGGGATGGGAGCTGGACCCAGGTATGAGGGTGCAGAGACACACAGTCACTTCAAAGGCCACCGTGAAGCAGCGGGTGGGAGCAGAGTCAAGACCCAGGTGTGGGTTGGCTGCTCCTCCTGTGCAACCGTGGGAAAGTCACTCAGCTTCTCTGAGCCTCCAGCGTCCTCATCTGTAAAGTGAGGGTGGTGGTAACCATTCCTACCTCACCGGCACTTAGCACTCAATAAATAGTTGCTATGATTACTATCATCGATGACCGTTACAATTGCTCGAGGACTCAAGACAGGGAGAGCAAACAGGTTTCCTCCCGAGTCTGGACTGTGAGGCATGGGCAGCGGCTGCCAGCTGTGCGAATGGGGGTTCTGAGGCCCGGTCCGGGCTGGGTGGATCAGTGCCTGATTGATTACTGATGTCTGTGCAGACACGTGAACAAGGCGGGCTCTGGAGGCCAGACACTGGCTGCACTGGGCATCAGGGCTCTGAGTGCTCCCAGCACCCCTGGGGCCACTCACTGTGATCATGACCGAGTTCCAGGTGGCAGAGAAGACGTCTGTGTCGTTGTTGCCCTGGTAGTGCTTGGTGAGCTCCTTGGTGAAGAATTCGCGGGTGAGCTGGAGGCAAAGGGAGGGGGCAGGCTGAGATCTACAGCAGCTTGATACAGCTCCCCTCCCTGGCCTCTCCAGTGACCTGCTCCGGGGGAGGGAGGGGGAAGGCCTCAGCGTCCTGGTGCCAGTGACCCTCCTCCCAAGCAGCTAACTTGGGGCAGGCCCTCACCTCCAGCCCCAGGACCTGTGGCCTCCCTGCATCGTCAGATCCCCGACATGAAAACGCAGTCTACCCACACGGGCCTCGGCAAGCCTGAGGCCAGGGCCACCTGGGGACCTCCACCGTCCCTGTAGCTCCTCCCAGAGGGAGGTCTGGTCCACAGTGGGGCGCTCGCCCCCTCATGCCGCCGCCACCCGCCGCCCTGAGCTGTTCCTCAGACAGAGCCAAGTGGATGCACTGCGTCCCAGGCCCTGAAGAAGCCACCGTGTGAGAGGTATGACCCTGCTCCCTGCTGCAGGGAAGGGCGGGGACCCGGGTGGTTGGAGCCTCTGTGATAAGATGGTCTATAGGGGCAAGGTGCCCAAATTTCATACTTGTCAGGGCCTCATCCAAGAGGGCTCTGTCCTGTTCTCCCGCATGGCACACATTCTGTGCTGGGGGGACAGCCTTTTTTTTTTTTTTTTTTTGCGGTACGCGGGCCTCTCACTGTTGTGGCCTCTCCCGTGGCGGAGCACAGGCTCCGGACGCGCAGGCTCAGCGGCCATGGCTCACGGGCCCAACCGCTCCGCGGCGTGTGGGATCCTCCCGGACCGGGGCACGAACCTGTGTCCCCTGCATCGGCAGGCGGACTCTCAACTACTGCGCCACCAAGGAAGGTCCAAGGGACAGCCTCTTTGTCCTCAGACTGTCAGATGACTACTGCTGGGCCACAGCTGGGCAAGGTGTGGAATGGAAGATTCTAGAACCAGGTGCGGGGTTGCACCAGATGCTTGGGAAGAGCAGAGACCCTTAAGGACCCTCTGACTCTGACCTTCTGGAAAAGCCCTTGCAGGGAGAGGCTCACTGGGGGTCTCTCTTTGGGCTGTGGGGCCTTGCTGGGCCGGTGGGTTGTGACTTGGGCTGGAACTACTGGATGAGAGGGCACTGACTCTGTGAGACCCTCTGGGGAGGGAGGGGCTGGCCATGAATGGGGCCGGAGCACACGGGGCCCAGTACGTACGTTCTCCCTGAAGATGAAGGCCAAGATGGCCGCCGAGAGCTCCGCCAAGAAGATGATCAGGATGAACAGGAAGAACTGCAGAGAGAAGGGGGCAGGCCCGTGAGCCCCGAGGGCAGGGGGGAAGGGGGCAGGTGACCGCTTGCCGAGGCACCCTTCCATGGGTCACACGATTGACACAACGTACTGATTCTGAGAGACTGAGGAACTTAACTGCCGTAAGCCAGACATTTTTCGTAATAAACACACCAACAATCCATCTTTGGAGCCAACAGGGTTGTCCCTCTCCTGGATCATGTCTCTTCCAGGCACTTTATCCTCATCCCAGGAAGACCCCAGGTCATATACCCTCCCTGACTTTTCAGCGCTGACAGCTGCTGCCCCATAGAGGTCCCGAGGTTTCTCCAAACTCCTTGGTCTGAGGACTGCTTTTGGGGAGAGCTTAGGACGGAGAGTGAGATGATCCGTCCAGGATGCAGACATGAAACATCCCCTAGACCTGCCAAAGGCTTTGTTTTGTTTTTTTCAATGTCCAAACCCAAGGAGAGCCCCTGGCTTAAACAGATCATCCAGCACAAGGCGTGCGTTGTTCACTCCTTACCCACAGGGGCCGGGGGTGGGGGGGAGGTCTCGCCAGGTTCAAGTCCATGGTCTCTGGTTTCATAGAGGCTTGCTTGGCATCAGAACCCGACACCTGTCCCACGGTCTCCTTTCTGTTTAGCCCCCATTTCCACAGGGGAGGAAACAAGCCAGAGAAGGAGAATAACCTTCCTTTCCAAAGGTGTGCAGCTCAAAAATTTGAGACCAAATCCTGTCCCCTTAATCCGGCTCCTTTCAGAGCACCACACACCCCTTCCCTCTCTGCTGAAGGGCACAGTTCAGGGCTGGCCTGGAAGTGGGTCTTCTGAACCCTGGGGCTCTGGTTCCAGCAGGTCAGGGGCAGGCTTGCTGTAGTCAGCTGTGTGGGGTCACCTTGGACTGAGGTTGGGAGTCAGAGCTCCCTAACCAGAAAGGAGAGTGACAGAGGGACACCTGTATCCCCGGGCAGGCTGCCCCTGGCCACGATGCCCATCCCATCCCCCTCCACTTCCACAAGCTCGTCCTTGGGCTGAGAGGTATGTTCCCCACCTCTGCAGCCTCTCACCCCTGTGACAGTGATGGAGGGCCCTGGCAGGGCTCCTGGCATCTCCATTTGGCTGGTGACAGACGGTCATCCAGTTCTCTTTCACATGGCCTCCACGGAGCCCCGCCCCACCCTCTGCCCTTGCGGTGGAGTTGCTGGCTGTCCTCAGGCTGGCAAAGAGCGGCCTCGGAAACGGTTTCCACCCCAGCGACGTGACTGAGCTGTCTCTGCCTATCAACCTCGGCTTAGACAGTTATAAACTATGGATGAGACAGAACTCGGGAACTCCATGTGCTCATAACTCTGGGAGCTTGCGTGTGCTTTCCAGGGGACTTAGCACCGTGTCAGCGAGATGATGCAGGTGAAGCGCTGTGCACGAGGCTGGCACGATGTGAGCACGGCTCAGATGGTGGCTCAGAACCAAGAGGAAGCATGGCCTTCCTGAAGACAAGGGCTGGCGTGGGCGATCTCCGGGAAAATAACAATAGCTACAATCTATGGGGTGCTTAACACCTAAGCACTGTGGCTCTTACACGGGTGATTTCATTGAACCCTCTGGGCAGCCTGTTGATAAGCCTGGCAGTTATCAACACCACCTCTGTTCTACTGATGGGGAAACTGGAACCCTGAGAGGGTAGAACTTGACCAAGCTGGCTCAGATGGGATAAACACAGGAACTCTGATTCCAGAACACAGCCTCCTAACACCATGTTATCCTGGAGCCCAGAAGAGCCTCCAAATCTTAAGACTTTCAGATGGCCTGCAGGATCTCTTGTGGATCGACACCAATCCTTTTGCTTTCACATTTATCAAATGCTTATATGTGCCAGGAACAGAGTTAAACAAGATGCATATTTTCTTACTGAACTCTGATCACAACACTATGTCTGGGAAGGAGGTATTATTATCTTCATTTTACCTATGAGGAACCTGAAGTTCAGAGAAGTTAAGTAACTGACCCCAGGTCACACAGCCAGGAAGTGGCAGAGCAGGGATTAGAACAAGGTTTTTCTGACTCCAAAGCCCATGTTCTTACCCACACCTCTGAGACCACCTCCTCTCTGTTCCTTCATTCTAGGGCTGTTTATTGAGCACTTATGCTGTGCCAGGTACTGTGCTAGATACTGGTAAACCAATACACATAAGGCAGATGTGGTCCCCATCCTCATGGAGTTTCCACTGAGCCAAGGTTCATGATTCATGAAATGAAATTCATGAGATGAAAAACATAAGATTCATGAGATGAAATTAAAGAATGAACCTGGTAACTCACTCATTGATGGGGAAAGCGGGCCTCCCCAGAGGAATGGGGTCTGCAGATCTCCTGGCCATTGCTCCTGCCTGGAGCAGGTCTCCCCAAGCATGGGGACTGAGGGATAATATGAGTGTGTGAGTTTAAGTCACCTGAAGCAAAGTGCAGGGCTTTGGGGCCAACATCGGTAACAACGTCACTTCTGCTAACTTCTCCGGCATGAAATAATTTTCTCCTGCTTGACAGGGTTACTACTGGTTATTTGGAGGCGTTCCTCCTGGACCTGGCCACAGGGCTGGTGCTTCCTGGGGCTTCGCCTAACCAGGGCCTTTCCCAGGGTTTGTTTGCCTTGAGTTAATCTGACCTCATCCCATTTGCCTAAGGACACATTTGCCAGTAATTCCTGAACTTACACTTATCACACTTTTAGGCTCAGAAAATTAATCAAGGGGTGAAAACTGCTCTTTTGCCTACTTGTGAGCATCTCCAGACTTTTCTAAGCCATCTGCCTACAGCATGTCAGCTTTTAGTTCTCGTTTCTGATAATATTTAGCAAATTTACATACTTCATGAACAATTCAGCTCATTTATCACTTTTAAATTACACTCATCTCTTTTTGCTCTTCTCTTTTCCAATGTAGCAGGTCTTGGTTATAAAATATTTTTTAAATGTGAATCTTTCTAAAAATGGGTTAAAAACATTCCTCGAACTAGTTATAGGTAAGCAACTAGGGAAAAGGGGATGCCACACAATCTCACCAATAGGCTGAAATTGTTCCATGGTACGTGAAGATGCTGTAAAACTGATCAACAGGAGTGTTTGGAAAATGTGTTTTTAGAAGAGTTGATCGTTAGCTGACATTAGACTCACTGTCTCCAGGGCTAAGGGTCACTGGCACCCCTTGGGGTTTAGAGGCAGAGGGGTGCCCAGCTAACTCTTTTCCCCAGGCCTCCTCTCTCTGCAAGCCTTTAAGCCACAGTTCCAGAGGTGACTAAAGTCACTCTCTCTTGGCTTCTCTCAAGATAAGTCTTCCCTCCTTCCCTGAAGGGCAAGGAGGCGGCTCAGACTTCTTAAAAGGATGCAGTGGCCGGGAGGGGTGAGACCTGGGGCCCCTCTTCAGCTGGAACCACCACACAGCTGAGTCCAGGTTGGAACAGAAAGCAGATCTTCCTATTTTTCATGAATCTTTCTGAAAACCTTCCAGAAGCCATGGTGGCCCTAGAAACACGCAAGCATGCATACCACACACACATACAACACATAGGTATAGGCACACACATGGAGAACCTGACATATTTTGCACATAATTTGTGGTGAGTTTTGGATCACTTGAGTCCATTCCAGGTTAGGAGCCTCTGGATCAGCCCTGGTCTGAGACAGCAGACCTGAATCCAAGACTCCCCGGGCTTTGACCTGCGCTGTGACCTCAGGGTTGTGTGTGTTAGGGTTCTGAGAGAGAGAGGGGAGGGGAGGGAAGGGGAGAGAGGGGAGGAGAGGAGAAGGGGGAAAGGAAGCAGGGGAAGTAAAGAAAGACAGAGGCAGGGAGAGGGGGCAGAGGGGGGCGGGGGCGGGGGCGTGGTCCAGGAGAAGGGGAAGGAAAGGCATTAGGCACAGAAACCAAGAGGAAGGCAGAGATAGAGAGACAGGAAGACAGAGGCCGAGAAAGAGCGAGAAAAGAAAGGGAGAAACACACATAATGAGACTTAAGAGACAGAAGGGAGGAAGGAGGCAGAAGAGGGGATGGGAAGGGGTGACTTCAAGGTTCGGTGGGCACACCGGCCACAGCCGGGACTTAACTCTCTCTCAGGGGACTTGGGGCAAACCTCCTCCTACCCCGGGGTCTCAGCCTTCTCCCCTAAGCACTGGGGAGAGCGATGTGTTGTCCAGCTGGCAGGCTCTGAGGGAGCCACTTAGCTCGAGAGGGCTTGCGAGGCCTCCAGCCTGCTCCTGGCCCAGAGCCCCAGCCCGGCTTCCTGTCTTGGCTTCAGGGGTGAGCCCATTAACGTTGGATGAGCCCTGGGGGCTGAGATGCAGGGTGGGCAGAGGAGTGATGTAGGAAGGGAGCTCTGGTGTGTCCTGGGACCCATACTCAGCTCCTTTCAAAGTCCCCAGCTCCCCAAGCCCAGACTTTTCCCTGCACCGTCGGACACTGTACAGAGCTCTCCACCAGGGGGCGCCCTCGGGTTTCTTTGTTTCTCTCCAGAAGGAAAGTTTGCATTGCTTACCCTGCTGCCTAAGGCCAGAGGGACCCAGGGCGCCTGAGTCACACACATCACAGCTGATTTCACTTTCTATCTGTGACATGAATGGAGAGTGTCTAGTCTGTTCTAATCTGGGGAGGAGGCATTTGTGCAGATCTCTGCTTCCCATAGCCACTGGTGCCGGCTCATCGGCAGGAGTGGACAGACGCCTTGCCAGCCCACGTCACTGACCAGCCCATGTCTCCCTATCACTTAACCCCTGACCCACGCAGCTGCTCACCCATGAGGAGCGTCTGCAAGCTGGCCCTTCCACGCACACACTTCTAAGCTGGGCCGTTTTTAACCTACCCTCCAGCAGGACTGCGCTCTACCCGGTTTTCCTAGCCCGCGGGGGCACAGGACCTCATAGGAGAGGAAGCCCCATCACCAAGGCCAGGGCAGTAAGCAGAGGCCCAAAGGGCCACAGCCCATGTGAACCCAGAAGACCAGAGAAAAAGGACATTCACCGCTTGTCTTGTTCGGCTCCAACCTATAGCTGAGCTGGTTCGCCCCTCACTTAATGAGAAGACACTAAAGCTCAGAGAGGTTAAGAAACTAGACCAGAGTCACATCATTAGTTACGAGACAGAGCAGAGCGCACACACAAGCCCAGGCCTGCCCAGCTCATCCTCGTGGGCTCGCCTGCCTCTCACCAGCCTGTCCACCAGGGAGGGGACGGCCACTCGGCCCCTGATACATCTATAGCACCTAGTGAACTATGTGGCCTGTAATAGTGGGTCAAGGACTGTTTATTTAATGAATAAAGGCCCTTCAGAGGCCATATCATTTCTATTCTAGAAGTGGAACTGCGAAAGCTGAATGATTTATCTGATAGCTATCTTAGCTCTCTTACCACAGAGTTATATATTCGAGGTCTTACAAGCAAGTAGAAAGCATCACGAGTCAGCGTTCTCAGCTGACCCTGCCTTGGAGAAGCCTGGCTGTTCAGACCTGGAGTCCAAGGCCGCTGTCCACGGGGGAGCAGCTCACCCACACGGCAGGCACGGGTCCAAGCTCAGATGCATGTAGGAAGGGCTGGTGGTCCTCCCACTCCTGGAGGATGGCCTACTCGGCTCAGACCTCAGTGTGAGTCCCCCGTAGTGTGGACACAGGGCCCCCAACACCCAGCCCGGGGCACCCATGGGTGGGGTGGAGGATGGGGTACTCACCAACAGCAGCAGACACTTGTTCTCCCGGACGGCCCCGCAGCAGCCCAGGAAGCCGAGCAGAAAAAGCAGGCCCCCCATGGCCAAGAGGATGTAGGCGCCCGTGATGAGTAGGGGGTTGGCGGCCACGATCTCCCGGAAGCCGGTGGGGTCCACCATGACCCAGATGCCGATGCCCAGCAGGCAGGCCCCACCCAGCTGCTCCCCGGGGCCAGTCAGGAGAGGGGAGAAGAAACAGGCAGACATGGAGGTTAGACACTCCACACACACACGCCATTTCCCTGAGTGAGGCCCAGGGGCGGAGGCGCTGAGTGCCTGGTGGACTGGGCACAAACTCCATTTGCTGCTCGAGTCAATGTCCTGGCAGTGTTTCCCTCTGCACTGGATTTCCCTACGTACCCTGAGCTGCGGCGTGTCACGCAACCTCCACACCTAGTCTCTGACCCACGCCCCGCCTCGGGCTGCTGAGAACCATGTCATGTAGAGTTTATCCACCACTTTTATATTCTCCTTAAATGTTAGAGCTGCTGGGTAATGAGGTCATTCAGTCCAACCTTCTGATTCCACACTGAGCCCCAGAGGGGACCAACGAACTTACTGAAGGTCACACAGCAAGTTCACGGCAGAGCCACGGCTGAACCCCAGGCCTCCCTGACTCCAGCCCCAAGGACCCTCGCCAAATCCATGAACATGCTCTGACACCTATGCTGGGAAAACACAGACAAAAGCCACCCTCTTTGTCCTCAACAGGAGCTCTCAGTTGGGTTGGGGTCACCACTCTCACATCACATTCTTTTTATGTCTTCATCTCCATGGCCCTCGTCTCCATGCCTTACTTATCTTTGGAGAGAGGCAGCTTAGTCCAGAGAAAGGGCTGTACCACTTATTAGCTGTGTGACCTTGGGTAAGTGGCTTAACCTCTCTGAACCTTGGCTTCCCCGTGGTTAAAAGAAGATACTGTTTCCCACCTCCCAAGGTGGCCCCGAATAAGAAGAAAGGACAGAACGGACGTGAAGGTGTTTAGCAGGGTTCAATAAACATCTGTTCCACTGGTCTTGGGCACAGACCAGCATTGGAAACAGACCTGTTGCAGCAGAAACCGTTTGGCATCATCAGATTTTAAAGGCTGGGAAGTGTTTGAAATCCCCGTGTCGTGGGAGGACCTGAGGAATGACAGAAAACTGCTGAGCTTTGGCTTGGCTGGGGGCTCTGTAAGCTGGGGGAAGAGCTGGATGGTTTGGGGCAAGAGGCGATATTTTCAGGTGCGGTGGTGGGACGGGGGAGGCAGAGAGGCCTGAGGGACCCCGGGACAGTGAACGACAGAATCTACATTTTCGCTGTCTGCTGCCCAACGCCTTTCTCCTTGGTCTCCCCACAAACCTCCAGGGAAACCTTCTCATAGCTGTTGGAGGTTTGGGGCTTTAATAATTGTGTGCTGAGTTCTGCTTCAAGGGCGGGGCTCAGGCATGAACTGGGCGGCCCAGGATGACTCAGCCCCATTTCACCTAGGGACACTGGGGCTGCCCAGGGCCACCCAGCTTGGAAGTTGGGTCTAGAATTCAAGTCTGTGGGGCTCCCTGCTCTTCAGGATTAGGAGCAGGGGAGGGAATCCAGGAGAGTTGCTGAAATGTACAAAAAATAGATGGTGACAGACAGACGGACAAGAGTCAGTCTTGACCAGAAGAGGCCTCTCTTGCCTAGTGACCCTGCCCTGGGGGACATCAGTAGATGTTTACTCATCGAGGTCTTGGCAGCACTAAGGTCAAAGGTTGAGGTGGGGTCACACGATGAGCGTGGCTCTGCTCCTGGGAGAGGCCATGGGTCTGAGCAGAGCAGGTGAGCTGTGCTACAGGGCGCTGGGCTGGCCACCTGAGCCCCCAGGGCCTCTGTTCTTTCACGCATAGAATCCATAGGTTGGATGGGGATGGAGCTGACACATTCCAGGCACTTCCTAAACTAATCTTGCTTCATTTGCAAAAAACCTGCTGAGGGAGGAGATTAAAGGATGAAGATACTGAGGTTCAGAGGGGTGAAATGTGTTTCAGATCACAGCTGGAGAGATGCAGAGCTGGGCTTTGAACCCAGGTCTCTTGGTCCCAGAGAGGTTTCAGATTTCATCAGGTGGCTCCATCAGCTCCGCCCATCCAGCTCTGCTGCGCATAACTGCTCTGGGGGGTCAGGGCTGGGTGGGGCTCCCTGCTGCCCTCTGATCACCCCCATCCTCCCCCCCCCACAACTCCCTACCAGGGGTCAGATTTCAAGATAGTAGCCAGGACTGAGGCCCCTATCTTTTCTTTTTTAGAATAGCTGAAGCATCATCCCAGGGGCTGTGCAAAACATCTCTCCTGTGATGGTGGGCGCTACGAGTGGGGTGGGCACTGCTGGGGGCCTCCCCGCCGTGAGCCCCCAGCTGGGCAGGTAGAGCTGCTTCTAGCACTGGCCCCCATTCCTGTTCCTGGGACTCAGCCCCATGTGACTTTCAAGCCGCAGTCAGTCCTGCCCACCCCGCAGAGGCCTGGGGAGACCCTGGGAATGTTCCAGGAATACTTACAAATATGAAGAAATTGAATACAAACATCAGATACTTCATGCAGCTCAGACAGTCGCCTTCCATGGTGCTCCCCCTACAAAACAGCAAGGCCCTCTCAGCCTTCCCACTGGGGGACCCCATCCGAACAGATCTCCTGCCCCTCCCTCCTCTCCTTCTCCTTGGGGTGTCCCAGTGGCCAGCCTGCCCTTGTAGCCGATGGGGGAAGAGGGCAGCTGATAACCACCTCCTTATCACAGGGCTGGTGCTTTGCCCTGTGAGGCCAGAGTTAGGAGTGAGAACTCGAGAGCTAGCCTGCCCGGGTTCAAGCCCTGTCTCTACCATTCATTTGCTGTGTGGTCTTGGGCAAATTACTCCACCTCTCTGACTGTTGCTCTCTCCAACTTGAAAATGGAGATTAAAAACAGACGCTTCCTCCCCACAGTGTTGGGAGGATTAACTGAAATAATGCAGAAATATGCTTAGCAGGTACTCAGTGTGGCACGTGCTCAGAGGTGTGACATCATGATGTTACTTGATTGCAGACATGAGCCTCCTATTTGGTAGATGAGACACTAAGGCTCAGGGCCTTGAGGGACTTGCTAAGGTCCTAGAGCGGGATTAGAACCCAGGTCCGACAAACTACCTACTACCCCACATACCCTCCGACTCGAAGGACCAGTCCAGTGAGGAGGGGTGTTGCAGGGAAAGAGCTGCAGGCACCTCCTGGGGCCCCAGGCCCCCAGATGCTCCCCTGCCCTGACTACCTCTATCGTGAGACTTAGAGCATCCCACCTCCCCCTGGAGTCTCCCTGTCCCTACCTAAGAGTATGCCCATGGTAGCGGGTCACTGAATACAATTCTACTCAACAAACATTTATTGTGCAACGACTGGATGCCAGGCACTGGGGCTTGAAAACAAGATGTAGCCCTGCCCCATGCCCGGGGGAAGCAGACGGCATCTGCTATCGCAAGTCATCCCTCAAGGTGCACAAGTCACGGTCACATGTTCAATATTTCTACACTTTCTTCCTGACAGCCATGGGGAGAGGATGGGTAGACCCAGGAGGACCTACCCCTTCCCTTGTTCCAGGCCCCATCCTCCCAGCAGCCAGTGGAGGGCTGAGATTCAGTGGGGACCCATAGGTATGGTGGGCCTGTTTAGCTAGCATCTCTTGGTCCATGCCACGCCCACCAGTTGTTAAACCATTATCCTTGATGGTGGGTCATCCTTGTCTCTTGCATCATGCCCAAGCCCAGGCTCTCTTCCTCCAGAACAGGTCCCCACACCAAGCCACCAGCCCACCGCTATCTCCTCCATCTCTGACCTTCTAGAAGCAGCAACTAACCTGCATCTAAACATGGCAGTTCCAAGCATGGGCTCTGAAGCCAGACATACCTGGGCTCCAATCCTGGCTCGTCACACCTCTCTACCTCTGTGTCTTTGGTAAGTGACTTAACATCTTGGGCCGCAGCTTCTTCATCTGAAAGTGGGCATTTAGGACCTGCATCCTGGTGCGTTGTGAGGATTAAATGAGACGTCCTATGTCAGGGCTCTCCACGGCACCTGGTTCAGAGTGGGGCGAACAGCTCTTACTAGGAACACACCTAACTTTACAGTCATAGGGCTATGACATAGTCACTGACCATGAGATCAGGACCCCAGGGCAAAGACTTGCACCCTAGGCACGGCATGCTGACCCCCTCTCCCTTGGGCACTTGGCTGATGCAACTCCATACATCTGCTGAGACCCTGTCGTCCTTGGAAAGGGGGAAGAGGACAGGAAAGAACATTCATTGAGTACCGACTCTTTGCCAGCCACGCTCCAGCTCCATGAAGTGACTGTCCTGAATCTTTCAACAACCGCATGAGGCAGGAAGCACTGTGCCCATTTTACAGATGAGGACACTGAGCCTCAGGGAGGTGAAGGTGCCCAACATCCTGGAGCTTGTAAGCATGCCCCTCAGCTCACTTCAGATCCTGTGCTCCACCTGGTCCAGGGACCACTGTTCAGGCAGACAGCAGGGCAGAAAGAGCACTGGACTGGGAGTCTGGAGCCCCAAGCTCCAGCTCTGCAAGTCACTTCCTCTCTCTGGCCTCAGTGCCTTCATCTGCAGAACGATGGAGATGGAGTTTGATGGGCTGTCAGTTCCTGCCATCAGGCTCTGACTTGGGTGGGCTTTTAGAGGGCAGGAGGGGCGGCCCCAGTGAGATGCTGAGAAGTCTGCAGGGGGGCCAGGCTCTGGGGGCCCAGGCAAAGCTGTTCTCCAGGGTCTGATCCGGCTTCAGCTGGCTCTGGCTCTCTGGCATTTAAGGGGCATAATAAATATGGCAGCTCATAAACGGGCTACCTGTATTTATTATGTACCACATTCATTAGAGATTACATCTAATGGGTGGCTTATGGAGTGCTGGGCTCCCAGACGAGTGCAATAAAAGGTGATGTGTCTCCTGGGAAGAGCCTCTGACAACCTCAAAGGTGAAGCAGGTAGAAAAAGAGATGATGTGAGCTGGAGGGTGGATGGAGACAGGGAAGCCCAGGCGTCAGCTCCAGGGCAGGGTGCAGAGCGGACAGAGGGCTTTGCAGCCTGACAGAGGATCACATCCCAGTTGCTTAGCTGGTGGCCTGGGGTAAGTTCTTGAACTGTATACATCCGAGTTTCCTTTTCTTTAAAATTAGTATAAAAAATAATGCCTTTCTCATAATGTATGGAAAATACTGAGAACAGAGCTTGGTGTATGGCAGCTGGCTGCCCTTGAGCTCTTACTATGTGCCAAGGAACATGCACAATCTCATTGAATCCTCGTAAGGCTCCTGGATTTAGGTAATGTCATTTCCCTTTGTTCAGGCGAGGGAATTGAGCTTCAGAGAGATGGAATCACTTGTCTTAGGTCACACAGCATAGAAGTGCCTGAACCAGGATTTGAACCCATGTCTGTCTTAATCCGGAGCCACATCATCATTTTCAATGAATGCTAATTCCCTCGCCCCATTCATCCATTTTCCTCCAAAATTCAGGCTCGTCTTCACACCTCTTATGCCATTTTATTTCCCAGTGGCCAGAGAGACGGCCTCCTGCGTCATCGCCCACGGCCAGGCTAAAATCAAAAGACCAACAACTGCTAGCTCCACCAGCCACAGGGGCTCCTGAATGTGGGGACACACCTCCACGGCCAATTGGCCAGACAAAAGTGACAGACACATGGCACCTCCAATCGCTGCCTGGATCTGGGTGTTGGCTCCACCCACCCACGGAGCCTTTTGGACGCTAAGCCCATCACCACGCAGTGCCCTAATTTACTTCTAAGGAGAGTGGAACATAGTCTCTGTAAGGCGGATTGAGAAGAAACTGCAGACCATGGAGGTACAAAGGCTTGGCTGTTCCTCAGAAAAGATGTTCGAAAGGCACTTATGAAGGAGACGGAGGGGGCGGATCTCTGCTAAATGGAAAGGCCATGCCCTCCCTGGGGCCAGGGGTGAAAGGCCCACTGAGGTTTCCCCATTCCACGGAGCCCACAGAGTCCCGGAGCGGAGGGTGGCAGTGACAGTGGGGCTGCAGGGTCACACGGGTCCTGGCTCCACCTCCTTCTAGCCCCGGGGCCAGTGGACAAGTCACGTAAGCTCCCTGGGTCTTTGCTTTCGTGTCTGCAGAATGGGGCCAGGAATGCTGACCTGCTCAGAAAATCAGAGGACTGAGGATTAAATGATAAATAACGTATGTAGGGCTTCTCACGCCAGGCCTGACACACGGCGGTTCCTCCCCTTGCCTCCTTGCCCTGCTCTCTCAGACCCTGAGAGGGAAGGACTCTGATCCGGAGGATTTCCGCTCAGGGAGGAGGAGTGTGGTCAGTGGTTTTCATACTGGGTTCCCCGAGGCTAGCAATCTCCTAAAGTCATTTTCAGGATTTCAAGTAACACCTCACAAATCATCCCCTCCGCAACGCCTGGCTCAAGGGGCAAGTGTCTTGGGTTTTGGAGCCATTAAACCACTCCAGGGTGGGAACCCTATTTGTCATGTTGTTCAGAAGCTCTAACTGCTAGGTATGTGCAACTCGGCAGTACATGAAATAGGGAGAAAGGTATACTTCATAAATGATGACTTGGTAAAAGGCAGTGCTGTTTGACCGATAAAATCCTTTAAATCTTGAGGCCCAGAGAGAGGAAATGCAGGAGTCAGCATCACAGGCAAACTTGCCCTCGTGTGAATTCAAATCCCACAGGCGCAGGGAAAGCATGCTGGGAAAGCAGTTCAGGTGCTGTGGGTCCAGCTGCCCTTCCATGTGGGCGCCTGCCCCAGGGTGAGCCTGGGTGGGAGCCGTGGACTTGCTGCCATGGCTCTCATGGTCTCGAGACACCTGTGCCCTTCACAGCAACCCGCCCCCCCGCCCCGCCCCTGGCCTCTGAGGGTTGGTGCTTACAGATGGGTGCTTTATCATTCAACGTGACCCCCGGATGCCACTGACTGTTTCATGTATAACAAAGTCAGGTGTTTAAGGGCTTTAAGGGGAACTTTTACGTGACACTACTGTTTCTGTAAGCACTGATTTAGAATCCAGCCCTTGTATAACTTATGTCACCAGCATTTCAATAAAAGAAGTTCTTGGCCATGAAAAGGTAGAGCAGCACTGATCTGGCCCAACACCCTCACCATGGAAATGGGAAAACCAAGGCTGTGAAAGGGAAGGGGAGAGTGGCCAAGTTACAAAACCAATTAGTGAGGGATCTGGGCCTGGAGCCCTGTTTCTTGAAGCCCAGGCCATTGCCCGGTAGCTACTCTCCACACTCAATATTTTACTTATTTATTTTGGTAGCACACACCTTC